ACCATGAAGGCATGCCAAGAAGGCGGGAAAAATACCTTGTAACCTTTTGGTCTTCCTAATATTCAATTATTATGTATGTCTGGCACGTCCTTCACGGATGTTTAGTAGCCGAACGGAAAGTAAGATCCAACTTGTATGATCCCTTCAAATGTCACGCAATGTAACTTGAAATTCTGTTGAATTTAAGCCCCGTAAACTTTTAATTTTGAAATTTCACTTTCATTTTCTAAGGTCAGAGTATCCCCATACGCCTACAGACTCCATTTCAAAAATTCATTTAAAACTCCCTTTCATATTTATTTTCTATACACAAATTGTATAATCATAAAGTCGACAATTAAATAAAAAGAAAAGATTCATTTTACAACTTCTTTTGAGTTGGGGATACGTTACTTCGGATTTTAAGGTGATAGATTTGATTTACCCCATATCTGAAAAACAGCTCATTCAGCAGCTATGGCTGAAGAGTTGGACTGGAATATAAGCCCGACGAAGCGTTAATATACCGCGCTATTCAATAACTAGATTTATTGATAATAGCTTGAATTATTGGGATAATTCGAGAATTTTTAATGATAAGCAGTGTACTGATTAGTTAAAAACAAATTTTGCTGAATGTCATACGGAAACAATGTAGCACTCAGAGCTGTCATAACTGGTACTGACGATTCAGATACCACTGAAGTTGCAAACATGGTTTTTTTTTTAATTTATATTTTTTTTTAATTTTCTATTTATTGAATTCATATATAATGAGCATCGATAAAGCTTACCTTCCCAAAGTTCAAGATATAATGTGTAACGATTTCTTAGGTAAGGATTCAGAAGATTTAAATGACGAAAAAGGCTCTATGATTCGAGGTTTGCACTTTAAAATCTTCCTGAAAATTCTAGATATCCCTGGATTCGAATGCCCAATCTTAGGGAGAAAAAAAATGTAACTTATAATTTAGTTCGAATCTAATGAATTAGTTCATCTAAAGTTAGATTTGATCTCACTCTGTTGGATCTCGTGCTAATTGTATGAGCTAAATTACTAAATTTACAAAGCATTAAAAAATTGGCAGTTTATCTTAAAATAATATTTCTTTCTCGAATAATAATTTTTCTGGAATATGCGCTGCTCCGTGTCACTGTCACTTGTTTTATTCTTTCCCAAAGACTGTGCATAAGTAAAAAATTAAAGGAGGGGAAACTAACTCAATTTTTTTTAATTAATGATTTATTTTTCACTCAAATGAAAACAATCTTACATTATTGTATTCATAAAGTTGAATATGTACTGCATATTCTTCCGATTCCATTTTACTTCTGCTTAAACCAGAGCCCAAATATAAACGAAGAGGTTTAAAAAAAGCCAGAAGAAAATGCTTGTAGTTTTCTACCTGAAAGAAGAATGCTGAATTGCACGGTACAATAATTTCAAATTTATATTTTGTTGGAACATACTTGGAAGCAGAGCAGATTTGGTTGGAACACAGATTTGGTTTGTTTAATTATGGCAAGGCCTATCTGCCTAAGGAGAGAGATTCCTTCGAAGAGTACTTTCTAAAGGTAACTGGTTTGTATCCACGTTATACAGGGTGTATCTGAAAAAGTAGTCGAAATTTTACAGACTGATACAACGCAGCTAAACGAGAAATATTCGTCATACAATGTTTGGCTGGAATGCAAATGGTAAGAAGTTAAAAACGTAGCTTTACACTGTCACATTTAAAGACTTAACACAACAAGAAGAAGAGATACTTCGGAAAACATTTTACTCACAGTATTGTAATTGATGTACATGCGCAAAGAAATTGCTCAGAAGAACTTCCGCCAGCTGTAATGCAGGCTTCACACCTGCGGTACAGGGACTGAAGCACATTTGCGAAGACATCAGCCATTTCCCGAGGATCACAAAGCAATAACGGCGATTCTGCTGAGTAGATCCATATTGGTTTCAACAAGGCGCTCGTAGATTAGGCTTCTCATATGGCCAAGTACACATGGCCAAGCTGTGGGACCACCTCGACCAATACATCGCCCTGGAAATTTTGTAGTTCGTATAACCAGTCATCCTCTCAGAAATCCACGGTAGAAAATGCCGTTGGGTGCGAGGTCTGACTCTTTTTATACCATTTACCTAGCAGCTCGCAGTTTGAGGTTCGCCAAACTTTCTATGACGAATATTGCTTGTATACCTGTGTTTTACAACCCCGTAAAGTTTCTCCCACTTTTTTAGATTCACCCTGTATATGAGGGAACCACGAAAACACCCAGACAGCCAGTCCATTCACATGGAATCAAACCGAGCTCAAACAACCAGTGTTCCACAACTTTACCGCTCAGCTGCTAGAGGGCTTGAAAGCGGAGTAAAGTTTCTCCCACTCTTTTAGATTCACCCTGTATATGAGGAAACCACGAAAACACCCAAACATCCAGTCCATTCAGATGGAATCGAACCGAGCTCAAACTACCAGTGTTCTACAACTTTACCGCTCAGCCGCTAGAGGGCTTGAAAGCGGAATACGAAAAATTCGTTTAACTTGCTTACATTGTTACGAAATGCCCAGCTGCGGTAAGATAGCTTCCCCGCGAATCGGTTTTACAGTTGCCAGAAAATGGCAAGGAGAAAACGTGGTTTCCAGATCTGGATCGAAATTGCCCATTTGGTGACATCTGGCGAAAAAATTGGCGATATGCCATAGACAGAGCGATAACATTTTAGAACGAATTCTTACCGGTTTGCCCTAGAATGTTTTCGAAGGCAGGTCAAAAGCTATATAAACCCTGCTTGTACGCTGAGTAGCAGTGTATCGTCGAGTGTATTGTGAGTTTATCATGCAGAGTATTTTTAGTACGTTGAGTTCAGTAATAGTGACTTGAGCTCCGAGGGCGATCGACCGTGTCGAAAGCTGTACTTTAGTGCTTTACCGTGTCTTTACCGTTATAACCTGATAGCCTGAAGGATGTGGTACTGATTATTTCAGAGCGTTTATCGTAGTTTTCCAACGACTGTAACGCGTCTTTCGAACTGCCCTGTGAAATACTGACGAATAAATTGGGTTATGATTCTTCATCAAGTATTGTCATCAATCATTCCAAATTCACGAACCCGTAGAACGCAACAATATGTAATTATATGAATTAAATAAAAAATGTGAAATTCTTACTAATTCTTTACTTAATTTGCGGCTCTCAAACTTTCATGAAAACTGCCGACTCCTATCATCGTGGAGTTTGTCCACCCCTGCTATAAACCCTGGATTTTCGGCTTTACGTAGAACATGCATTTTTAAGACTGGTGAATTCTACTATATGTTTGAGGAAACCAACTTTTTACATTTTAATAGGAAAAAAAACAGAAGTTTAATATACTAATCAGAGCATATAACCAAACATTTTATCGTTGACTGCAGTTTCTTTGGAGATTAATCCAGTAATTAATCATCAAAACCTTACGGTTATGTGGAGAACGAGATAGGTGTGTAGAGCTTAACGTGGTAGTTATAATGCTCAGTCGAAAGAAGAGATGGGTCTCAGAAAAAATTCATTTCCCGTCTCTTGCTAACAACATGGTTTTCGAGTTTATTTCAAACCTGTCAGTTAAATCAAGCTAAATATTAAAAGAGAACCTTCATTCAGGGGCATTTATAAAACTCGTCGAGAATGTAATATAATATTAATAATGTATATAATTTTAATGTAATATAATTTTACGTAATAATGTAATTAATAATAATGTAATATAATTTTACGTATAGGACAAACCCTCTGATCTTTAAAATTCAGAATAAGCGAAACATACAGCATATTAAAGAAAAGGAAATAAAAACTTTTAAGGCTTCGGATAGTTAAAATAAAAATCGCAAATTTAAACTTTCGGGGCCCAAAACTATGGCTCATACTATTTCCGCTCGAATTTGAATTTTTCAAAAGCTTACCTGACCTACCTGACAAAGGCATAAAAAAATCAAGCCCCTCCTCTCTTCTTTTAATCGAGTACTACAACTTTGACGCCACAGACTACTCTTTTACTGCATTCACCACCGTCATAATAATGTTTTGTTAAAGTGGACTTAACTGCAATGAAACTGCAGTCAGCTATAAAACGTTTGCTTAATTGTGCTAACTGTAACGTATATTGATACTGATGAAAATTTCAAAATAAGCATTCTAATAATAAGGTAAAAGTCTTACCTTTTCAGAAGATCTTCTAATCCAAAATCCAGGGCTTTTTTTTAAATATTATACATATATATTTAAAAAAACACACATTTTAATACATATTTTACGCATACAACACATTTTAATACACAATACATTACTAACTAATTATATGCACAATACACAGAAGTTACGGATTTCACCTTTTATTGCGTCGTTTATTACTAGTTCTATAAAAGTTCTTTTTTGAGGCAACGCGCATGCGCGGATCACGAGATGTAAATCGTTTGGCAAGAGTTTCAGTAGGTAAGATAAGAAGTATATAAATCAACACACTAAAACTTTAATCAACAGTTGTCACTTAACTTCACTTTATAATTTAATTACGTATTTCTCCTTAAAAACTGAAAATACTAATTGCCCATAGCAAATCTTTCTAAACAGCCCATTTTAAAATTCAAATGTTCCTCATATGATTCTGGCACAAAGCTTCAGCCAATAATAATTTCGAATGTGTGAACCGAAACTTTAGTAAACCAACAGGGATAAACCTGAAATAAAACTAACTTGTTCAGAAGCGAGTTTTCATTTCAAATATGTAGAATTCCTTCTATCGCTTCGCTTCTTTCAAATTCCACAGCATCACTTTTTTCTTTCAGATATTAAAACTATAAAAATTGAGTAAAGAATAGGTGTGTTTAACGCCAATTTATCTAAGTCTTCAGCAAACATATTTGTCTACAACAAAAGCACTGTCTTGTCCAGGAAAAACATCTCCATCTTCTCTTCAAAAGTATTATATGTATGTAGTATCGCATGTGCTCTTAAGTAAGTATCTTTTTTTCTTTTAGGGGAAGAAGAAGTGGTATATCTGATCAAAGACTGGCAGAAATAGAAACTTTGCTGGCCATAGAGAATAGTCAAAAGGGCAACAATAATGTTGCTTATGGAGTCATCGATCCCATGGCCTTGTAAGTAAATTTTTATCTGCTAACCTTTTGTGAATGAGCTTTATTATTCTTAGCTTTATAAATCAAATATGTATCGAACTTTAATATATGATACTCATAAGTAATTACCGGAATACCAAACCTTATAACAGCTGGATACAGTTGAGATGTTGAAGGTCTAGCTGATCAAGACACAGCTATATAAGCGATCAAGAAAAGATAAATAATGATTTTGCTTTAATACATCGCCCTAATCTCTTCAGCTTATTAAATTTCAAAATGCGCTGACAGTAGAATCGATTACAGATTTCATAAATTAAAGATTTTGGTGGAATTATTAGGTAAAAAAAATAACGTAAAGTAAAAAAAGAAATAAACTAAAATTCATTTTTACTTTTTTTTTCATAAACATTAATTATTATTTTGATGTGTAAGAACATGCCCGATAAGTGCCAAAAATATCAGTTATCAATCAAACTGAAACCAACACCCAGTCCCCAAGCGTACGTAAACTGTCAAATGTTATACAATTTGTATTACTGAAAATTTTTCTATTATGGGGGCTCTGAATATGATTAAATTAATGTAATAACTGAAATAAAAAATTTAATTTTTATTAAAGAAATGATGAAACTAATTTTGGTCAATTATTTAGAATTTAAAATATTTTAATATTTTAAATATTATTTTTAATATTTTGGCTAATCTTTGAAATATGATAACAGGTAGTTTGGCGACATTTTGGTAAGGCGATAAAGGTTACTAGTTAGGACTTTAGCAGTGTACATGGATAAAGTCAAAACTGTGCGCAATGCCATTTTTGTGCAATTCTGGGATGTCTTTTTAAGTGAAAATAGGTCGCCGTGTACATGGATACCGTGTATGTGCAATTCTTAAAAACGCGGCAAGCAGTTTGCGATTCTGCACATTCTCCCAATTCCGCACCTAATCTTCGTCATGATTAAGCACTTTTGTTCCATAAAAGTTCTAGTATAAGCGTAATTCGGCTAGCAGATTGTTGGAACAAAATGTTGAGTAAATAACATGCCTTTACTTCGTGAAAACAAAATGGCGTCCAAACAAAAACTTGCAGGTTGCTGTAGCAGGGTTGGTCGCAAAATTTCGCCAAAAAATCGCCAAGTTATCATAATCCAAAGATTAACCAATATTTTAAAGTATATAAAAAAGGAACAGTCGTACCATCTATTGAATGAAATAAGAAGAAAGAACAGAATACTTTCCATAAGAAAACTAAAAACGCTTCATATACCAAATATTAAATATTTCACAAAAGTATAAATTTTAAAATTTCTCTAAAAGGCAATAGAGTTTAAAAATATGAAAAGGATATCTGGCTGGTTTTGTTTACATTCCAATTGGTATAATCTACATGTTTACTATTCATCATTGAAAGCTCACAAATCTCCCGTCCTAATTTTAATACTTAACAAAAAAAAACGATTTTCTACTTAAAATAGAAAAATCGCAACGACTGCAAATAAATTTTCAAATTTAATAAAATCAATTTAATATAATTCCAAATTTAATAAAATCTAGGTACATGAAAATGTGTAAAGGGTAACTATAACACACATGTATGCATAATAAAACATGGAAGTTTCAATAGTATTTAATGCAAATTATATCTAAAAGCACTTTTCTGATCCTACTGACGTTGATGTTTGCTCTCAAAGTCAATGTAATTTTATTTAACAATACGTTTCGTAGTCTTATCTGCTTGCTTATCTGCTTGCTGTAAGGATGCTGCTTGCTGCTGCTGCTTGCTGTATGTGCTTTGCTGCTTGCTGTAGTAGCTGAACGTTACGTTGCTGACATTTCTTTGGCTTCACTTCTGTGACGTCAGGCTTCCTCCATTTATTCTAATCTCCTTGATATTAATCCATATAAAAGAAGAGATGTAGGTTTTTAACTTGTAAAATTTATTTATTAATGTAATACATAATTCTAAAATTTGTACTTTTTAAAATCTGTTATCGTTTCACAAAAATTTAAAATATTACACTAGGAATTTGATTTCAATTTTATTTGAAACACTGAAACTACCATTCTACTTTAACCCTCTTAGTATAATTTCTATCCACCATTTTACGCCATAAAAGAAAAAATAGTAAATTCTTCACCATTAAACTTATTCACCTTTACAACAATCTTTTGATTCCCATTTAGCTAAAATTGCTCCACAAGCTTCTTCATTTAGTGAATTAATCCTTGAAACTCTCCAACTTTCATCCAGTTTAACAACTTTAGTCAATAATTTTTATTCTAACCACATTCTCCAAAAATTACTTGAAAGTTTCTCATTTTTCTCTTAACGGAGATCAAGTATCGCCAATAGGAGATTTATTTTTGTTTTGGCGGCAACACATCGCGCCATTCTTGATTAAAAAATTGGAACTCCTATATCAGTAGGCGAAATACAAGCACATCCCAAAAACAGCTTTCTCTCATTTTATTTAAGAGATAAAAAAGAAAACAATAATTTTAATGAAAAATTATAACATAAACAAAAAACATATAATTTACACTTCAAAGCGGCGTTTATAATCCGCACAAGCCAATGCCAATAATTAAGTATTTCGGAGGGTGACTAAAAAAATGCCCACAGGAAAAAAAAAGCGCACAGGAAAATGGCTCATAGGTATAAATGCTCACAGGCAAACAGCTCACGCAGAAATATGCCCACATAGAAAAAAGCTCACATGGAAAAATGCTCACTTAGAAATATGCTCACACGGAAAAAAGCTCACACTGAAATATGATCAGATAAATAAATGCTCACATTAACTTTTTCTGGGACGGCATATAAAAGAATGAAAACTCTACTAAAATTTTGCATGTACTGTAATATTTTATACCACTGCCCTTGTACGAAATTTTTTCTTCTAACTGCCAATAGTTAATTTTTGTTTTCTTACTCTATTTCTTCAGACTTTTGATGTGTATCCATAGATATTGATGGTTGAATGTAGTTATTTGGCCCACCAGCGCCCGAGCGGTTAAAGCCGCTGAACAGTGGTAGTTCGATCCGGGGTTCGAGTCCCGGCGAACGGTCTGGCTGCATGGGCGTTTTCGTGGTTTTCCACATGTTTCCCACGATCCAGTTTCCCTTAAAAAGACCTGCATCCCTCTGTTTCCGTGTAGTGCCTAAGGGCGGAGCACGTAATAATCAAAAAAGAAAAATGTAGTTAATAAGTTTGGAGCCAAAAAAGTTCTAAAATTTCTGCAGAAATTTAAAATTTTAGAAATAAAATTAACAATTTTAGGCACATTTAATGATGCCACTCAGTTGAACATACTTATGTAAAATATGTGGAAAAAGCTTTTCTAAGTGCTTTAAATTTAATAGTATTATTATGTCAAAATTGTAAAAAATATAACATTTATTCCTTCCTTAGGCATACGCCTCGTATGTTTTGCTGTATTTAAATAGCCTCACCAAAAGTTAAAAGAGGGTATCTCTACTGCTTTTCGTTTATTTTTATTTTTGTATTTTAAAGCGATAAAATTCTGACATATCTAAAATAATTTCTTCTATGAGGAATCTTTATTTATTTCATTTTAGTGAAGAAATAAGCTTTCTTTTCCAAATCACAATATTTATTTTTCGAAACATTATATCAAGTTCAAGCACAGGGCGTTCAAAGAAACTGCATACTTCTTTGAACGCCTTTTGAAAACTTTGTCTTATACGAGTACATAACCATTCGTAAAGTGCTTAGTCGTGCAGGATCTGAAACTGGAACCACATATCGATGACTCACGGTTCCAATTTGATAAAATGAATCAAATACTTTTATTTATACAAATGCCAGACATTTGTGCACTAAGCCATTAGTCTTAATCTTGCTTCTTAATACTTAAGTGTGTGTGTGTGTGATTATGGCAAAGCCTCGAGGGCTATCTTCCTAAGAGGAGGGATGCCTTCGTGGAGGACTTTCTAAGGGAAACCGGCTCGTATACACGTTACACATGGGGAAAACCACGAAAACGCCCATGCAGCCAGCCCGTTCGCGGGATTCGAACCTCGGACCGAACCACCAGTGTTCAGCGACTTTACCGCTCGGCCGCTGGTGGGCCTCTTAATACTTAAGAACAATAGAATTAAAAGATAATAGTGAAGTGCATTCGTCAATATGTTCCTTACCCATGGACGGTCCAGAGCTGCTACAAAGGGTACAGATTGAAGAGTCCTCAAGTCGAATTTTAAAAAAATGGGCCTTCAAATAGTCGTGTCCAGTCAAAAGACGAAATAACGTCAGGCTACAGGAAGAGGAAAATCTGGAATAACTGGCTTTGAACTAGTGAGACACCCCAGGCATTTCCCTTAGCTTCATCTGCTAGGAGGAGGCAAACCTCCTCTTAAATTCTAATTTAATTTGGAGTTTTGCAGAATTAAATGTCATATGATTATTAGTGGTTTGTAGCATAGTCGTTCCTTTCTTTGCCAAGAAATCGGATCTTTCCTTTTCCTCGATGCCACAATGAGCAGAATACAATTGACTCAGCCAGACTGTTGAGAATCTTTCTACATTTATAAATTCGTTCAGAAGAGCAAACTTTATTGTTGGAGATAGCCTCCAAAGCGCCTTTGCTATCAAACAAAATAACAACGCGAGGCAAATTACTCTTCCAAGCGCTTAATTGATTCAGAGCAATAAATATAGCCTCAACTTCACCTCAAAATTGGTAGTATCATTTCCCAGTGCCTTATGGAATGCAAAATGGTTACAATAGATTTCTACCATCAGCTCCAGTACCTCGCTCAATCGTGGATCCATCGGTGTAAACATGCGTCCAGAGGTTACTGGGATATCTTCTTTTAATAGTTTCATAACCAATGGTTCTGATCTGGGCAGTGGGCATCTCACCGTTATCAATTTTCTCGTCAAGTTCAAGATATACTCAGAATTCACCGTATTCAAGAAGGCACAAGGGTACAGTCATTACATTCATTTCTCGAACAAGGTCTAGGTCTTTTGCTAACTGATAACCAATTTGAC